GAGAGAGAGAGAGAGAGAGAGAGAGAGAGAGAGAGAGAGAGAACAAGAAGGACAAAACAAGATCAAATTCAATCTTCTTGACATATGCAGTTAGTCCAAGGATTTATAGTTTATAAAAAATGAAATTAGAAAAGTATGAACAAAAAGGAAAAAAATGTTGCTAAGTTAAAAAGACATCAGTTAGAACAAGAATTGGATAAACACGAATGAAATCAGCATAAGAAAAGATAAATGTTTAAAAACAGAAAACACTAACTGGAGGTCCTCCAGTCGAGATGCTTCATGTCGGGAATCCAAAAGGTCATATCCCACCTCATTGTAGATCTCCAGATAGGATACATGCGTGGTGTACACCATGCTGCTGTCCTGCTAAGCAAAATTAAACGATTTAAAACCAGCAAAGAGATTGACACATTTATATTTGGAAGAGGTTTCTGGCCACAGTTTTGTCAGAAGTGAATATCAAAGGCTKGTAAAGATTGCCAAAAGAAATTTACATTTGTATTATTTGTATATATTTCCATGACAAGTGAGCACTTTATTTAACAAACATTTGAAAATAAGAAGAGACTCGGCCGACCTGACTGAAGCGTTCATACAGGAAGGACAGGGTACGAGGAATTATGCCACGGTCACAAAAACGTTCAGCGCCTCCTGTGATGGTGAAGGTTTTTCCGCTGCCTGTCTGGCCGTAAGCAAATACGGTGCCGTTATAGCCAGCCAGTACACTGTACAGAAACCAACAGACACTGAAGCAAACTGCTACAATGCAACTACAACACAAAGAAGCTCATTTGGATATATAAACGTGTCGATTAGGACTGCAGTAAATGAATATATGTCTTTAGTTCTGCTTCAAAATACAACTTTTATGATGCAWCGTGATTAGTTATGATTCTCTTTTAATTGCTGATCAATTATCGGCGTTCTGCAGCTCATGTGACATCAGCTTTTTAGCTTTTGAAACTATTCGAAACAGGCATTAAGAATGCACATGAATTAAAAGTGACACTTGAAAACCACAGAAAAGCATGGCGGTGAAGTCAGAGCTGCTATGGCGGCAGACATCTGCTGGTGAGAGAGGAATGCCTTGGAGAATGAATGACAGAAAAAGCCCAAACCCTCTCAACTAGGCAGAGTCTGGTGAATTTTGGTTTGGCGCATAGCTGTCCTTCTGCACGTGCACAAAACCATGGAAACCAGTGATATTTCAAAAATAATTGAACTCCTATAAGACATGATATTTAAGCATTAAAAAAAAATAGTTTTCTGGTCTTGGAAATAAACCAGGAAGAAAGTGGCCTCAGAGCTTGGATCAAAGGTGTGGATAAACTCGGTGACTCTCCTCTTGTGAGGAAAAGAACATCAATACATTGTATTTTACAAGACAAATTTTGAAACAACACAATCATCCCACTTCTAATGAATTTGCCATTCCGGTGTTTGAGCAGTGGGTGGACATGCTTTGCTGTATGCTGTACAATCCCACACCTTGCATGAGAGCAATAAGGGAAAAAGCAGAATGYCGATTTATATAAAACACTTGTCCACCCAGGAGAATGGTGGTTCGTTAGTCTGGCTTGGACAGCCAATGGGCATCAGTTCAGTCTGGCGTGAGTCAGAGTGGTGATTGGCAGCRGGGGAGAAAAGACGCAGGCCCAGCGTTTAATCGAATGTCAGTCCTAATGATGCGGCCTGGGTCCAGCCACTGAGGTCTGGGCGTCTCTTGGTGCTTGTTCCTGTTTACGCCTCAGATTTCCTGGCGACTAAACTGAACCTCGCTCTCGTTTAAACTTCTGCTGCAGGTTTCACTGCCCTCTGAAGTGGGATTAGAATGCAGAGAGAGGATATTGTTTTGCCAGACAGTATTGTTACACTGACTTTTCCTCTCCAACAGTTATTAACACTGGTTTGTTTTAAACTGTGTTAAAGATATAGCCCAGCAAAGACAGAAGCTGTAAACATGCCAATTAAAAAAAGAAACAGACAGCTGATGCCAGTTAATAGTATAGGTGTCCGTATGCATGAATTTCAATTTGACAGCAAAAATACAGCTATTTAGAAAGACCCCAGACTGAACCTGAAATATTTCCAAACTGTATAGACTTTATAAAAACATTGTGCCATGTCAAAGTGGTTCCATCTCATGATTACAATTCAGTGTTTTTTTCTTTCCAACTGGGCTTCTCAACATTAAGTTTTAGTCAGATCCAGTCTCTGCCAAAGCAGTACAGAGGGCAAAATGAAGCCAGCGAGTCAGAAGCAGCAATAAAGTTTACACCAAATTAAACATGGTAGATACTTTATCTAAATTTAAGGTTTAAAGTTTTATTTGCCTGATTCGTAAATTTAGTGTTTTGAAGATTTAGATGAAGAGAAAATGGGAAGGGAAAATGAACGCTTCATGGAGAAAAAGACTCTAAATGTTGCATTTTTTTCAACCATAAGCTGACATTTAAATGCTTTGTCACATTTTTTCATTGAACTTCTCATAATCAGACAAGTAAGACAAATCCTTTAAGTTTTTTTTCCAACACACTTATTTTAAACTTTTTTTCCTAATTGAATGTGTTTGGTTTAAATCCGGCAGTTTGGAAACAAAAGTCCTAATATAATACTACAATTTTTAAAAAGGTATTAATTCAGAACTATTTACCCAGTTGTCTCTTGGGTTTTAGCTGCAGAAGTCGGATTTCAAAGAGCTGGGCTTGCAGAGGATGAAGAAATGCCTAATTGGTCAGACAGACTGGTCAGGTGGACTAGACAGAATGACAAGTGTCCTCAACACTGCAGACATAATGTTCATTTAAAAGAAATGCCCAGCTCAAATTGCTAAAAGACTCTGTCTGGTTCTGACTTTATCTTGATGTATACCATCTGCCACAAGTCAGGGGGAGCCATTAAACTGATGGCCTGGGAGGGCAACCTAATACCAAATGAGTGAACAATTGTGAGTCAAATCAGACACGTCCATGTGTTTAGTTAACTGTTCCAGACATAACGGTCTTATTTATATTGTCTTAATAGCCAAAATATTCCAAAGCACTTGTGGGATTCCACAAGTATGTCCCATTGTGACTAAGAAGATTGAGTGGAATGTCAAGAAGATGACAGAGCAAAAGTGAGCAGTGAAGGGAAGTGTTTGTTAGACGAAGAGAAAGAACCCTGTTTATATGACAACAACAAAACCAACATTTGATCGCAGGAAATTCCAAGGAAATTCCCTGTCTTGTTGGCTGTTTTTTGTTTTGAAAGTATGTCCAAGCAGGCGGTAAGAAAATGTCACACACCGTAAGGGTTTATCTTTGTCAAAACTGAGTTTAGCTTGTGTTTATTCATTCTTATAAAAACAAAAAACCTAATTTCATAACTRAGCTAAAGATGTATAGTGATAGATTTAGAAAAAATCATGTATTTTCCATGCACTTTATTACAAACCCTGCCGTGATTTATAACTCACTGTATACATCGGTGCAATTTTCACTCGTATCTCTGTTGTCCTGTGTTTGGAGACAAGCACAGTGTGCTGTGGTGTGAGGATGGACAACTGATACACCAGAAATAGGGACAGACAAAGGAGCCTTCAGCTCAGTGACACACATGGACATTCAGGACTGGTCTCTATGGGAAGTGAGGAAAACGAAGAAACAGTTTGATGTTTTTTTAAGAAAAAAATCCTGAAAAGCTGCTGTTGGCAAGAAATAGATGTTCCTTTGACACATTCCACTCATGACTTGGAGTTGTACATTTTCATATTTTCTGATAAAATAGATCTGTGTAACCACAATGTTTTAATAATATATGAATGACATAACGTTTTACAATAAAACAAAGATTAAACAGAAATATTCTATAAAACATTTAATGGTCTTGCGACGCAGTATTTACTGTAAGATACATGTTACAGCTAGACACCAGTCAGCTCACTCAGGTCTGCAGACTGTGGWAAGTTCGTTATACCTAATATTTCTCTCAAACCTGGGGAAGCTGCTTTCTATATTTGTGTTCCAGGGAATGTACTGCCTTTAGTCAGAGAGAAGCTCCTATTCTAAATATGTTGAAGAAACGTTAGAAACTGTTATTTTGTGCTATTAGCACAAGTACATGTTTAAGTTTTTATTGTCTGTGTCTTGGCACTTTTAGCTGAAGGTAAAAAAAACATAACTTAAGAAAACCAACAGCCCCCAACAGGACATGATCCATATAATTGTGTTTATTTAATCACTTCCTTATTTTAAGCTGAAACCATGCCAGTAAAAATGAAAAAGGACCCAGAATCAAGGCAGTTTGTTTGTGTCACAGCTGCATGTAAAGTAAGCCTACATGTAAAATATAGAGAGTATAAAAGCTCTGTGTGTTATGGCCTAAAAATATTCTCGCTCTCAAAATGGCACACTGTGCCATCTTGACTGCCAGCTCCATCCACTTAGTGGTTTAAGTGCTTAAAATGTGCCAAACATCACAGACACCCTCCATTTCCATCTTAAAGAAAGCTGAGCTTTACTGACTTCCTGTCAACAAGGACGGCTAAACGTTTGTGTGGCCCGGCTTCATTGTGGGAGGATGGAATCGTTGTTGAGCACAAAAGATCAACAATAACTTTTAATTTGTGATTTGAGTTAAGTTAATGAGATTTTATGAAAACTTTGTATTAAAAAGATGCTATAATTTTACCTTTCTGCCACTGGTTTAGCAATATCTTCAAATATGTCCTCTTGTTTGGCGTGCTGATCAAATATTTTTTGGAACCTGAAGAGCATTGAGAATAGCCAAGACAATGTCAACATAAACGTGGTAAAAATGAAAGCGTCAATTTGTTATTTTAATCAACCATGATCTTTAAGTAACTATTCTCAATTAAATTAAAGAAGCAAATCAAAACTAGCAAGTATATAATTTCTATGGATGGATGAGGAAGAATAACGTTTTGTGTTTTGTAAAGCACACTTCACCCAACATGTTTTAATTCACAAAAATATGGGGAGCCGTGAACAGAGTCCGCCCAAAGAACGTTGTTAAATGTGGAAATTTTATTGCTTTAAGGGCACAGGGGAACCTCCACAAGCTATTACAAGACTGTGTGGTTTTCAAAGGCTCTCAGCGTCCACTGCTGTCTGACTTTCTGTGAATTTAAGGCTTGGAAGCGTGGCATGGACCCTGCACAGAGGGTATATGAGGCTGCAGCCTCTGAGCATTAAACAGATGTTCTGGCTCTTCACCGACAGGACTTGCAGATGAATTATTCACGGGGAAAGTTCTAATGCAACCACAAGAGATAAAAGTTTGRGCTTCGTGTTTTTATTTATTGTAGCTTTTTACAGAAGACTTTTACAGTCCTGAGAAGATCATCTGCCATTCTCTAATCTACAGGAAGCCATTCTTTATATTCTGAACTAATGTAACAGTGGTTTTCCATAATAAAAACACAACAAACCACTATATGCAGATTTATCCTTGTCATAATTTAAGCTTTTGTTACCAAGCATTTTAAACTTTACACAAATCAGAAATTAGACTTGAGGAAATTTTTTTTAAATAAAAAAAAAAACACTACAAAGCTCGGAATGTGACTATTGTCAGTGACAAAGATTTTAATCATGGGTTAATATTATGTAATCTCAGCCTCTATTGAATTTACTCAAAACAAAAGTAATGGATCAGTTATGTAAAAAAGGAAAGTGTTACAGCAGGTAAAAGTGTTCAGCAGAGAATCTTACCTGAACTTGTAGACTTCTCTCTTGTTGTTAACAAAGCCATCAACCAGGTCCCTGGGCACCAAAAACTCCAAGGAGGCACCAGTTTTCTCTCTGTCCACAGAGTACACCTGAGRGAAGCAAAGGCAACACAAGCCTTATTTTGTTAAGGTAAACAGCTGGTAACTTAAGTCAGAAAATTTGCCACAAGATCAGATTTAGAGAGTATTTGAGAGCTGCCAAATAAACATTGATGTACTRTTTTTAAAAAAGTAGTCTACTATATACTTTTATTTTCCAATTTTATGGTGTTATTGTATGTGGAACGATATGTCCGGTCCATTTTCAACACAAAGTAAATACATCATGTTAGGCTTAAAATATAGGTTTGGACACTTGTGGTTTGCAAACACCCACCAAAATGAAAAGATGGAGTTTATGGAGCAAATATCCTGTGGAAAGCAATATAACTAAAAAGACAAAACCAGGATCAGTGCACAGAGCAGACAGGCTCTGCAGATTCAAACCAAAGCCGGGCCTCAAGGGAGACAAGAAAATTGTAGAACATTAAACCAATATCGACTCGGCTCTAGCACTGGAGGCCATTTAAAACGAGTTGGGCTAGGACAGTCTAAGCAACCCCCTTTACACTTTTGAGCTCGAACATATGTTCTAGCGTATGTTTCCAATGGACACTGATGCAATTAGAAGTCCCCAGGGCTGCAGAAATGAAAGAGAAGACCTAAATGATTAGATTGCTTTTCCACTGTCACCCTGTTTGTTGTGCTGCATACGTGTGTGCCAAACCTTGAACAGAGAGGAAGTTGTGCTCATTTAATTTCATTGCATATTTATCAGCTAAAGCTTGTGTCACAAAAACTCCAATTTGTATTTTTTCACACAATGCTCAAAGTTGGGCTACACTGAAATGAGAATACATTTCAAARGTTGCTTCTGATAACTTGAACTTTTAAATAAAACACCTTTCATTTGTCTTGTAATAATATCACAAAGGTGTACGTGATTTCAAAACATTCCTTTTGTTTTTAGTTGTTGAATAAATTTGTAAAAATTGCATTAAGGCTAAGTAAAACAGCAAAGAAACAGATGAGCTATTTAGTTGTAAAATGAAAAGAATAAGCATAAGACTCCTTATAAAACAAAAAAAGATAAAAGTTCATTTATTTAAACACAAGAGGCTATTTGGCAACAAACACGTTTTTACAGTAAAAAAAAAAGACAAGTTATGGCAGGAGAAGCACAGGTGTAACTACAAACCTAAGACGAACGCATTCCTTTCAGGTATGCCAGCTCCAAAGGCCCTGAAACTGAATTGTAAATTCCCATTCACCTGTGTGATTTATTAGGACTCTTCATGGAAGGGAGCCATCGTGATTAAAGTCAAAGCTGACAAGCCAGAATTGCAAAATCTCTTTATATAGTGGGAGAAAAAATGTCTTATGAGGCAAAAAGCAACAAAAAGTTAGCAGCAGGCTACTGTGTGTATTTATTGGCAGGTGTACGAGGTTAAACCTGTTTGTGGATTACATTTTGAATATCTAGTGTTTCCTCCTATTTCATGTCAAAAAGGTTTCCATTAAAACGTCTAGACTATAATACTCGGGTAAGTTCTAAGTGGCCTAGTTCTTGCCAAAATAAACACGACTAGCAGCTAGCTCAACTTTCAATTTTTTTGTGTTTAACAATATACCAAGTCACCCACTTACCGCCACAGTTTTCTTTGTAGGTTTAATGCGACCAAATATCTGTATAGTTTGTTTAACCATTTTTTTAAACACAACTTTTGAGTCAAGCTTCYTTTTAGCTTCAAGGCTACTGTCTGTGCCGAGGTGGCAAGGACTTGTTTTACCTCGTTGCTAAGTAACGGTGGTCCCCTCAAAGATCGTCTATTGATGTAAAGATGAAACCTCAGTTTTAAATAGCTGTTCTGGAGGTCATACAAAAACAATCTACATGGGTAAGTGTAATATTTTCTGCACTGAAGATGATGAGCTGATTAATTCAGGGGTTCTCAAACATTTCGGGTCTGGGGACCCCTTACATGGGCGAAAAAATTCCAGGGACCCTCTCATTAAAMCCATGCTGTTTTAAAATATAATTTATTGTCATTTCAACCCCTAAATGCATAGGAATATATACAGTATATTATTGAGTTTATTGAGTTTGTTTTATTAGCTCATTGTTCTCCATGCATTTTTAAAAATAAAAACCAAATTAACAATTTAGTGAAATTTTTCGAGGACCCCCAAGATACCTCTCACAGACCCCTGGGGGGTCCTGGGACCCCATTTTGAGAACCTCTGGATTAATTCATCCTCTCAAAGTCTTATCTGCCAATTCAGTACCTCTCAAGGTGTACTCCATCCTTAAACTCCATCCTTAAAATTAATTGTTTCAGTGTAATTATCAATACCATAGAAACATTTTGCTGTGTGATTTCTCATTCAGAATAGTACTCAATCATTTAGGTGAAAATTTTTTTTAGCCAGAGTGTAAAATACTGGCCAAAATTTTAAACTAAACACATAAAAAAGAAGATATACAGGATGTGTTTGACATAAAGTGCATCAGCCCAACTTTCAAGTTGGGGCTGTGTACATTTGGAATAGTCTATGTTGCTCAATAGTCAAGTGTAACCTTTTCTTGAACTGCTGCTGACGTGTTGCAGTTCACGTGAAAATGCTCTGCAGTCGTCTGGCTCAGACAGCCATCAAGCCGGTGCTACTAATCCACGCATGAAAGAGCAAAAAAAGCTGATTTCGCAGAAGCCTGAAACCTGTGAGGCAGCTTCAAAGGGACGACTCAGTTTACAGGACTAAAATTAGCAGCAGAGCTCTGTTCATCTGAGACACACAGATCAATCTGCATATCCCCAAAATAACACCAGTGAATCAGTTTTCATTTATTTTCTACTGTTTTAGAAACTATTTAAATAAGAATTATAATAAATGGACTATTACAGAGTGAAACAATTGTGAAAATCACACGAACCGTATATTTTTCCAAAATATCTGATTGAGATCTTTCATGACATCTAACAGAGTCATCGTCTGTAGACATCCTGTCGACACACACTGTCGCCTTCTTTCCTAACAATAAAGAGGAAGTTTGTCCTTTCCCATCAAAGCAAGTAAGGACTCCTACCAGCGTCTAAAATAAATATGAAAATTATTGCATTGTGTTAACCCTCTGCATAAAAAGTATCTTTATGAGTTCTCAGAAGGAAGCACTCTTCACATTATAGTTATACGGGTGTTTTTTTTAATCGCAGAAAGGTAGTGCAGTAAACACCAACCAAAAGCTGGACTGGGCCTCTCAAAGAGTTGTAAACTCCTTTTTTTAATATCCTGTTTTTGGTCCATATGTTATCTTGAGCTTAAGCTGACATAGTTGTGGTTTCTCCCAAAAAGAGCAGCCACTSCTGGAGACTGACTTCTTTCAATGAATCAGTGAAACTTCTTCTCTTCTCTCTGTAAGAAACGCTTGCATTTTGCATGCATGCATGCTCAAATCATCCTCATTTTAACAAAAAAATTCCCACAGTCCTGGTGCTGTTTTCATTTTCATATTTCCCACCTCACGAGCTGAGTTCACAGGAAGATCAGGTGACAGTGAGACGCACGTTGTCACAATGATGTTGTTGTGGCTGATAAGTGCAAGGCATGCAGCTGCACAAGTACAAGGCTCTTTGACTTTAAAAGTCAAAAGGTACATTAAGGAGTCATGTTTTGACACAAATAAAAGTACAAGCTTCCATCAAGCACATTTCAAAAACTTGCAAAAGCTTAAAGGCAGAAGCATGTAAAGAGGAAAACCTGTTTTTCAGTGATCTTTGCCAGCGATTTGATGCTTTTGTCTTGAAGCGCCAACCTGGCAGCTGATCAAAATAAAAGGTGTGCTCYACGTCTGGCACGGCAAGCAGCGCTTTCCGGACAAACTGTTCAGCTTGTGGTCGGTAGTTTATTTGCAGGATGACCTGGTAAACCAGCATTGCTCGCACTTTCACAACACAATYAAATGCAGTGTTACGAAACCTCAGTTTAAACAAAACGGTGGCATCACAATAACCTGAAACCTCCACCTTAAAACCACTCAATTGATCTTCTCCTCTGTGTTTTTTGTCATCTCCGTTTGCCARCTTTCTTCCTTTTATTTCAAATCCGACCTCATTCATTAAACGCGGGGAAGTGTATCAGACATTATCCGTACTTGCTGCTGCTTGCTCGCACCAACTGTAAGCTTGACAACCAAACACAGGCAGCACAGAAGCAGCTCGTGGGAGTATTTGTGTTCCTTTGCATCTCTGYGCACGTTTATTTATGTCTCTGTGGGTATGTAATGGAACAGAAGCTGCAAACATTTCACCTTCCACAGCGTCTGGCCAATTGGTTCTTTAAAAAGACATTTTGGTGTTTCTTTCAGTGTGCTTTGGATTTCTTTGAGCCATTATTAAAGACTCTACAGGAGGATGAGTAAAGCGGYTCCCCTTTGGTGGCTTTGTGGTTGATGTTGGCTTGATTCCATTGAATGATATGTGTGTCTGGGCACGTGTGTTGGCCCATGAGGGCCACAGCAGCTTGGTGGTGGAGTGCCAAKATGCTCCTTTAATCAAAGAGACAATTAGAGACAAGCACAGGCTGCCATGGTACCTATATCTACAAGCCCTTTATACCGAATTAAATGGAAAATTACATTACGAACTGTGGGGGAAAGAAGGCATAAATTTCCTGGAAAGCACGAACATCTGCAGATGCAACATGTGCTTAGCTATATCGAGCCAGCCTGGGAAAGGATGCCTTTAACACCAGTTTGTTCTCAAATTGACTGAACGTTCAAAATTGAGGAGAGAACGATGGTGACTGCTGCGGCGACACGGGTCAGAGCGTACAACGACCCGCGCATGTACTTCCACACTGAGCGCATGCATCTTATTTTTACTGCTGCTAAAAAAAAGTGAAACAAGCTGGAAGCAATGACTCCGTGTACCCACACTTAACCAACAATCCACGTGTGCCTGAWGGGTTTTAGGACAGTACTTGGAACAGACAAAAACATACTTTGTGATTAGCCTTACAGAATTAGACTGCAAAAACGGACTCTATAAGAGAGTTAGTAATTGCATAATAATATTATTTGWTGACCAAAAAGTAATTAAAAAGGTAGAATACGCTTTTCATTTTATGCTGTTTCAAAGGCAATGTTAGGTAAACCAACACACGTTCACATAAACAAGGTAACGAAATGTGTTTCTCTGGTAACAGTATTGATAGGGGTATTTTCTCATAAAGAAAGTGTAAAATGAAACCTGGAGGCCTGCAGCTGAGGGAGGGAAAGGCTTGTTTTTTAATAAATCAAAGGTGTCGTAATGTCAGTAAGGCAAAAAAAAAAAAAAAGAAAGGAGGAAAAACAAAACCAAAACATGAAGCTAGGAGTGAGAAAAAAGATCTGCGTTCACATCATCCTTTTTTTTWAAATCAGGTGACCACAAAGTAACTACAGGCAGAGACGACACCATTCTTTAAAGAAAAGTCCTTACAAGTACTTAATTAAAAGATAGGTGGAAATGCAACACATTTACAAAACAGAAAAAAAAACTCTTATTAAAAGACTCAGAGGAAGCTTAAAGAAATATTCCTTGAGAAAAATTGGCTGTTTTGACTTTTATGAATAAAACAATTTAGCAAAGAGCATGCTCAATGGGAGTGGTGAAAATGAAACAAAATAATTCTCTGGGTTCAATATTACAAACCRTTTTCAGAAACTCATGTTCCATAGTGCACATGTTTAAATAAAACCGTTGGCTTAAAGGCATCGTATTTTTTACCCAGTTTCAGTTTGGGCCAGAAACAACATGAACTGAAGTGCTGAGTATCTATCTCAGGCAATCAGCAGCAGCAGCAGAGTCCGTGCTATTTAGGTTTGGGGTTTCAGCTCGCCTGCCCTCTTTTTCAGTGCACAGTTTTTTGGTCGGCAGCTTTTCCAAGGGGATTCTTTAGGGCTTCGGTTATGTGTTATTCTCTAAGGCTTCTGCCCTTTGTTATGCTTGCAAGGCCCCAGCATTTCAGACTTCAGTCTGCATTCCTAAAATACTGTATATGTGCATCCAAGACAAAGGGACCAGCAATATTGTGAAGATGAATATGGGGATGAGCAAAAAGTCAGGGACAGCGTGACACTTAGTGTCTCTTGGGCCGTTCAGTGTGCTCATTTGTTTCTTTGTTACTGTCAGTAAGAWGAACAATTACAGAACAATGAAATATGTGCTTTTGAAGGATTTGTTTGGGAATGATTTGCTCTGCTTGAGTTCTTTTTCACTTTGTGCAGAAYACCATAAAGTACAAACTGTTACAAAAACGTCACACAACAGTGGCTTCTTTCTTTTATTTAAAGTTATACAACTGGTACTATGAATTTTTTTTTTATCTGTGAGGCTAGCATCACTGCATCAGCATAAGACCCAACTCTGTATCTTTAGTTTCTTCATAAGGGGAGGATTGTCATGAATAACAGTTCCTTCTGTCAGTAAATATTGTGCTCTGACAGAAGTCTCTTTGATGGCCCCCAGATAGCAGCTTGATAAATACTCTGAGGTAYTTGAAGAGTGTGAGACGAGTAAAACTTATCTTTGTCTGGAAAGTATGATGCATACCTTTTCCTTTTATAGCAGCTCTCATGCTTGGCATTTTCAGCAAGCGGGGAATTTTTAGACTACCATTGCATAATCGACATCATGACAAGAGTTTTCATTGACTGCGGTCCAGTTAATTAATTTTTTTCTTACACAACTGTAATTTATCTTGAGACTTCTGTGTAAACAACTGCTTAACATTTTTTTAGAGCTATTATGA